GCTGGAAGCAGGCTGGAAGGAGGCTGGAGAGATGGCTGGGAGGCAGAGATGGCTCTGACCTCCCAAAGGGGGGGGGGGCTGGGATGCCCTGGGACCCCAAGATGGACCTAACTGAGGGGGGCCCTGTTGTCTGTACCTGCAAGACCTGTCTTGGACTGTATTCCTGTCATCCAAATAAACCTTCTGCTTTACTGGCTGGCTGAGAGTCATGGTGAATCGCAGGAAGCCGGGGGTGCAGGGCCCTGAGTCCCCCAATACTCCGTGACAACAGTGATTAAGGCTACCCTGGAAGACTTAACAAACAAGAGCAACAAAATTGGATATTTTAGCACAAAGACACATAAATGACATTGCTTTAAAAGTAACAGCAGTTGGGGAGATTAACAGAAAAATATTTTGTTTCTCATTTAGAAGCCCAGTGGGGTACAGAAAGGACAGTGGAAATATTTGAGAAACATGACTGACCAAAGAATTAGAATACTTTAAATTCATGTTGGAGCAGAAAAGATACAGATCCAGTAAGGTCTGACTCTATTGTTACAGAGACTTCTGATTGAACATGGGTATTGCCCCACTGGATCAAACCATTCCATTTAGTCCAATGTCCTGTCTCTAACAGTGGCCAATGCCAACTGCTTCAAAGAAAGTTGCAAGAAATCATGCAAAAGACAGTTTATGGATTAACCTGTCCTCAAGGAAAGTCTTTCTAATCCCCATTTGGTAGAGGCTGGTTTGTGTCTAGAAACATGAGGATTTATGTCCCTTCCAAAACTTTTGGTTATTTTTTAATCTTTACTACTGTAAATTTGGATATAATCTTGTTATCCAAGTAAACATCTAATTCTTTTTTTTGACTCCTACTAAGATCTGAGCCTCATTGATATGTTGTGGCAATATGTTCCACAACCATAATAGTTGTCATGGATAAAGGTAAGGAAAATGATGGAAGCCACAAAATATCATATCATGCTAAATGGGGAAAACAATCTTCCTTTTGGTCGTTGTCGTCCTCTTCATAAGCAGAGGAAAGATGATTGGATTTAAAATGCATCAAATTTGCCATTCAGGTTAAACTTGATTTGTTGGATACTTTAGAATATTTTAATGCCAATATTTCCTTTTGAAAAATTAAGTAAGTTTTTGCCAACTGTATATCTGAGAGATTCAGAACCGGTTTTTTTTTTTTTTTGGCCAGTGCCAAACCAACATTTTACCTCTGATTTGTTTAAAAGCAATACAAAACATATAAAAGATGCCTAATGTCAACATACTTTCTTACAGAAAGCATTTAGAACTGGCACTAGCACACGCTTGGATGATCGTATATATGCCATGTGCCAGATAAAGAGTCAGCCTCTTGTTCATCTGATGAAAATGATACATCCCAGCTTGTACAGGATAGACAGATTGACCAATGAGGTACAGTATAAAACCATTTCTTATGGAATACATTATTTAATTCTGAATAAAATAGAATATCTATTGAACCTACTGTAGTGCTGCACCAGCAGCTCCTTTAAAAGTTTTGGGTGTAATTTTAAATATTTACTTCTACTGTGCTTGCCATGGTAAAATACAATAGATAAAAATATCCTCCAAAGGTTTGTCTCAGTGATTGTGGTACTCTGTCATCATCAGTTTATATAAAGAAGAGCAGATAATATCCATTAGGTCTGTTACTAGAGGTTAAGTTGTTCTAGCCGTGTGGGAAGGATGAATAAAGTAGATATGCTGGGGAGTTTTAATTTGTATATACAGGTGGATGAAGTTATTTGGCTCAGAGTGGAATGATAAATACTTAGCTGCTTTTCCATTGTGTATGGATGAAGTGGGATGTTGGTATGTCTGTCTTGGTGGTTTGGGTGTGAGATGAGTGGGATTCTTTTAAAACTACATGTACAAAAACATTAAGGTTTTTTACTGACAAAATGTAGATGAGGTATGGTGATTGGAAGTAATGGGGCTTTTAATTAATAGAATGGGCATTACTCAGGATCAAACTTAACCATGCGACAGAGACCTGTGGCACCTTATAGACTAACAGACGTATTGGAGCATAAGCTTTCGTGGGTGAATACCCACTTCGTCAGACGCATGCAGAAGTATTGACGTCTGTTAGTCTATAAGGTGCCACGGGACTCTTTGTCGCTTTTTACAGATCCAGACTAACATGGCTACCCCTCTGAAAGTTAACCATGTTTGTAGAACCATAAAGTCTGCATTTTAATAACTAATGCCACAATAAAAGTTTGTCATTTATGAATTTACATCCCTAACTCTAGTTTTAAAGTTTTATTTGTTTGGGAATATTCTTTAAGTATTTTAAAGAGCATTACATAGTAACTATTTTTATATGGTCATTGAATCTGACTAGTTTAGCTGACAAATTTCTTGCAAGCTGTTTTGACCAGTGCTATTTCAAAGTTTGATTAATGATTTTAAGGAAGCTAAACTAAGCTAAGTTTACTTTACTCTGGTGTATGAATTAATAAGTATTTCTGGCACTTCACACACCCAATTAACTGTCCTACAATTTCTTTAAGCAAGCCAATCCAAGTTTTTTGTTTCTTTTGCTACTGACACTGAAACACCTATAGTCAGCATATTTGTATGTTAAGCTCTTAGTGTTAATGGAAACACATCGGCACATCTCATTGGAAAATCCAGTTCCTAGTGCCAAAGGATTTTAACCCACTTGTCTCTTGCAGAACTATATTTTTAAAACAGTCTGGTATTTTTGTTCACTGGCAGAAGTTAATTTAAATATTTCATTCTGCATAGCATGGGTTTGCCAGGGTATTTCCTCAGTTCAAAATATTTACCGAGTAGTTGCTTTGTTTATTTTTTTATTCTTATTGTCCTAACAACATTTTTTAAAGGAAACCTTGCAGAGTTGAGCTATATTAGAAACAGCCAAAAAGAGGGCCCTTTCAAACCAATTAATCCCAGTTTTTCTTTGTTCATTATAGTGATATCATGTTTTCATAACTTAGGACATGTCACAGCTCCTACTTATGGGTCATTAAGAAAGTCATTTGAGCAGGGAAAAACTTAGGATAGTTTGGACTGACAACAGGACAGGCCTGTTGTTCAAGGATCAAGATAAATATAATGCACCTTGTCAACTTGTAAGCTGGAGAAAAAAAATCTTTCCTGATCTTTGCAGAGGATCAGCTTATGCTATATAAGCATTACATTTTGTCCTTGTGCCCATTGACACATGCATATATGAAGATTTGGCCCTGAAGAATGAGATTTAGTTTCCTTTATTGTCTTGCCTTGCATAGCTTCCGTGTTAATAGTGTTATTCTGTAACTTTTAAAATGTGACCATACTGTTTCTTGATGACCTCTACAACCATGAATACCATAGGTTGATTACATTTTGCCTAAATCAGTGTTTCCTGTAATTGGTTTTAAATTTCCTTTGAGTTTCAAGGATCAGCTTTCTTGATGCTCATCATAATTGTGTACAGCGAAGTCTCTTCTAGCTCTTCTTCTTCCAGGCTATATCCTACAATTCTCATTTTTTTATGTACAAATCCCACAAGACCACTAATGAGTTGTATTGTATTTCTGTGGACTTTTAAAATCAATGCTACATTTTTTTTAAATATAATTATCATAATTCAGTCCAGATGTGGGCATGTAATCACTTATGTAAATTTCCAGATTCTTCTGTGCAGAAAGGTCCATGCGTCCTTAAAATAGATCTTCAGCATTGGGGCAGACAGTCACTGGCAGGGTGATCCAACTTTTGTACGCCTGGCAATTGTATTCCTCCTCAGCTGCAGATAGGCTTTTAAACAACCTCCCTGTTGTTTAAAGCAGAAACTGAAACAAAAAAATTGAAAATGGAGGACAGTTTGGTCAATTAGGCCCTTTCAGAACTGTGTAGCCAAGGCCCAAGATTTGTCTGAGGGCCTTGTTAGCTGCTTTAACCTATATGCCAGTCATGGTTATGACCAAAAGGGGATTTCTGCTATCTGGGAGTGGCAATGTAGTACACTTCTGTAGAGTAGAATTTTAGATGGTTCTGCTCTAATAATGTTTCTGTGAGGATGGAGGCAGACAATCTGTGGCGCTTTTGCCGTGGCTGTTTGTAACTTATTTTCATTAGATATCAGAGGTTAGGTTTCTTGGCTTATTTTTAGGTTTAGAAGTTGCAGGATGAGAATCCACTTAGGGTATGTCTACACTACCCGCCGGATCGGCGGGTAGCGATCAATATATCGGGGATCGATTTATCGCGAGCAGTGTAGACGCGATAAATCGATCCCCGAACGCTCTCCCGTCGACTGCTGAACTCCAGCTCGGCGAGAGGTGGAAGCAAAGTTGACGGGGGAGCTGCGGCAATCGACCCCGCGCCGTGAGGACGCGAGGTAAGTCGAACTAAGATACGTTGACTTCAGCTATGCTATTCTCGTAGCTGAAGTTGCATATCTTAGGTCGATCCCCCCTCTCCTCCCAGTGTAGATCAGGCCTTAATGTAATATGTATATTTGTAACACATAAATTATATTACCACTTACATAATCATCTCTTGATCTATATGGAAGAAAGATCACCTGGCATTAGTTTTAGTAATTCACATTAGAAGGACCTAAGATAAGGATAAATATGACATTTTGTTAAATGAGACCCTCTGCAAGCTATAACTAGAAAACTTACAAGTCTCTTTTCTGTTTTCTCAAAAACTAGTTACGCTTGATGCTGCTGATTATATGTCCTGTTTTATATAATAGGTTTTCTGTAACTCTTTATTACAGGGTGCAATACATGTTAACGACAGGGTTGTTCCTCAACCTCCTCTTCAGAAGTTGTCTGCAGAGAAACTGACAAGAGAGGGAGCTTTTCTTATGGATTGTGGATCAGTAAGCTACCTGTTCCAGTAGCTTTTATCTGATATGAATAAGACAAATATGTTTCACTTCAGACTTTTAATTGCAGCTAACTCATAGTACCAATACTCTGTAGTTTTTCGACCTTAGTTATTCCAGGATTCTAAATTAATGTCTCAAATGAGAACCTTGAATGTCAGCATTGAATTTGCAAATATCTAGTTTTGTGATAAATTTCTTAAACAAGCATGGATATTAATGTTTTAAAGGTTAATTTTTCATATTACTCTGCATGTATACCAATCAATGTTAGTTTAAATTGTCCTTCCTGAAACTTAAGGCTTTCTTTTTCAATTGTTTCCTTAATGATGTTCGTTGTTTTGAACTGAATGCACCAGGGTCCCAATCTAGCAAATCACGTATACTCATACTTGTGTGATTGAAAGCAGGGCAACAGACACAATTGAAGAAAATAGTTTTCTACTAAAGAACCATAAGAAAGTATATTTTAGCTACTCTGAAACCTATTTTAGTCTTGTTATCTGGAAATGAAGAAATTTGAACCCTGTACGTTTAAAGTGTTCAGCATGACTGGTGAAGTAGCTTTTTCCTGCAAATGTCACAACTGTTGACCTGCTTAATCTGAATAATTTGAGAATACTTCTTTAATTTTAAAAAAAGTTTTCAAAAAGTGTTTGTACTTACTGTAGTTTCTTAGATGCTATTTAATGATATAACAGTAGATGGTGCCAATTGATTAATAAGGCAACCGTATGAAACATTGTCAGTAGGAGAACATTTATTGAAACTGCCCCTGTTGCTGAATATCAGCTCGTTTGAATTAGAAATGTATTCTGATAACTTTAGTTCCTTGGAAGAATTATCAAATTCTGTATGAAGTTATCAGATTTTACATGAAACTTCACAAAACCAGAAAAATATCGTGCTAAACATTTTAACCCCAAAACAAGTCAAAATCACTAAAACATTTCATTTTATTTCTAAATCTAAACTCCAAAACAAATAAAACATGAAAACTCAATACTCTAAAATATATGCAAGGCATTTTCTTCGCTAAAATTGATTTTGGTCTTTTACAGATATTTTACATTTGGATTGGGAAAAGTTGTGATAATAGCTTCATAAAAGATGTGCTCGGATACCCTAACTATGCATCTGTACCACAGAAACTGGTAAGTGTCTTAATGAGTTATGGAATGTAATACATACATTGCCAAGTAGTCTACGTTCTCCCTTGTATTGGCTCTATCAAATTATGAAACTGAATTAGATTTATTTCATTACATTCATAATGCTAATACCCATTTGTCAGCTTTGTCCAGTCTTTTAAACGTATGTTTAAAGAATGTGGAGCACCATACAATTGTTTGAATTGTAAAATTAGTTTAACTAAAGCACTAAAAACAAAAATACCAAGGGATTCATGTAAGCAGATTAAAATAATCATGAAATTCTGACTCAGCTGTCAAAAATGAAGGAATCCAGAATTAATATCAGAACTCTTCCATTCATAATTTACCCTCTTGAGGTAGTGGTGTTTGGAGAGTTGATAGTCTGTGAACTCAGTGTAGTCCACAAGATCCACAGTACAAGAGATAATGAATAAAGGGTTGAATTTAAACTTTACTTACTGAATTTTCGTAGCTTTGGTCAATTTTAACAAGAACACCAACCATTAAAAGTCACTGGGACTTGACATTCCCTGAGATGCTTTTGAAAATCTGCCCCTAAATGTATTTGATTCAGACAGTACTAAGATTTTATTTCCAAAAAGTCAGAAAACAGCTGTTTGTTTTGAGGATCGAGGTACCTTATTAAGATACTGTACTGTACAAAAAAATCTGAACAGAATTGTATTGAGGTAGAACTAAATATGTTAGATACTGTAGAAACACACAGGAAAACAGGTCCTGCCCTAAAGATTACAATATGAAGGACAAAAAACAGATATTTTGAGGGGACGGTGAGAAGTGAAGCATACAGCAGAGTGGTCAGAGTGAAATCGAGCACAAAAACAATGTTAGTTCCAAGTTTTTAAAATCTATTTTGCATGTGTAATCTAATCCTAACTATCCCTCTACTCAGCCATAATTAGTTGGCAATTGTAGGTGACACCATAGAAGGGGGTTTTAAGGATGGATTTGAATGAAGAAAGAGTAGTAGTATCTTAATAGAGGAAGATAGATGGTACAAGAATAGCTTTATTATTTTCAGTGAAAAAGCAAAGGGGTGATGAATTTATGCTAGGGAATGACTGGCCATTACAGAAATGTAAGTGAAACTTAAAGATATAATTCATTCTAGCCATTTACTACAGAGGACAGTAATTAGTTTGAAAACTGTAATCCAATAAATGAATTTTGATCCCATGTTAATTGTCCCATAAACTAAGCAAGCCTCAAAGGTAGTATGATCAGTTCAGGCAGAATGAAGCATCTTTCTTTCGCTGCTCAGCAATGATCGTGCAGCCAATTAGATAGACGAGTCCAATCTTTGTGTTGAACTTTAGGGGTTGCTGTTCAGGGCAGTTTGTGGTGGTTGTATGTATGTGGGTCTCTTTAGGGCTGTAAAAGTAATCCTGAGGACAATGCTCAGGAACTTGTGTGAGGAAGAAGTTAAAATAATGCATTTTGGGGGTCGGGGGGGAAGGGAAGGTAAAATGTGAATACAGTTAGGACAGAATTTATCTACATACTGTTATTTTTATAGGCCTGTTTCCTAAAATGTCTTGTACTTCAAATATAGTGATTAATTTTATTTAAGGATGAAATCTTTGCACTTCGGCTTATCAAAGAGAAAATGCATATGTAATACAATTCATAGTAAATGATTTTGTAGGATGAGATTGGACTGTTTCCCTTGTGGATCATGTCATGACTGACATCCATCTTCTCCCAAACCATTTTTAACTCTTATTCATGTACCTGTTTTACTAATTGGTTTCTTATATATATGTATATATACACCCATTCAGTACCCAGAAACATAATGTATAAAAAATGGCCATTTAATTTGTCAGTCATCCACGGTTGGGGAGCTTTACTTGGAATTTATTTTTAGAGTACTTGTTCCAGCCTACCATTGATTTATTTCTGTATGATTTATTTTAATTTGTTAGGTTATATTTCCTTGCATTATAAACCTTTTATTTTTCTAATTACATTTTTCAACCAGACACAACTTCCAGAGTTAGATACACTTTCTTCAGAGAGAGCCCGATCTTTTATATCCTGGCTTAGAGACAGTAGACCTTTAAATCCAGTTCTTCAACTAATAAAGTAAGTATTTTTACAGTTAAACTTTCTGTAATCTCATCTTTTATACATCTCTGGGGAACAGAATTAGATTCCATAATAGCAGCTCTCAAATCCTGATCCTGAGAGATACTGAGTGCCCTCAACTTCTAATTGAAATAAGTGGGAAGCAAAGGCACTCAGCACATCATAGAAGATGCTGAGCACCTCACAAGATCAGGCCCAGTGGTATCAAAGACATCTTAAATGCAGAGATTGCTTTACAAAATATTTAAATTCATTTAATTTTAGAGTGCCAAGTCAAAGTTCAGGCATTAATATATTTTACTATTATGAAAATACTAAACAATATGTGCCCCATGATAAATTGAAGTAACTGAATCAATTTCCAGTCTCATTTTATATTAAGGCTCCATTTATAAATGGTTTATAGAGTTAATAAATTATTAATGGATGTTTTAATACTTTCTTAATCGGTTGTTATAGATGTAGTCAGACAGTAGCTTATAACCAAGGTTTATAACCATCTCGAACACCTGTGTATGCCTACCACCATATCTATAACTAATATGCTACTAATGTCTATAACATGATTACAATATTTAACAATTTATTAATCCTTTATAAACCATTTATAAAATGGAACCTTAATATAAAATGTGACCTGTATTCTAATTCATCAGAGTACTATACATACTATTGAATTGCTTTACTGAAGTCCTCCTTCTTTTCAAGCTATTACCTACTTGAAAAATCAAGACCTCATAAAATGCTTATAGTTGTATCCAGTCAGTAGATTTTTCATCTCTGACAGTGATTGATACACCATGTCTGACAGGTTTTTAAGAGAAATTACATTGAATGTTGGCTCCTGGCTGTTGTCCATGAAGCAAATATTGGTCTTATTTTTTATATGTGCGCAAGAGGTTCAAGTAAATTAGAGTGGGCACTGTTGGCTCAACTATCTTGTAGTAAGGGGTGTATCAGCATTTCCTTTGACTTCTTACTTTTCAGAAGTTATTGGTTAACTGAGAATGAAATATCTGTATCTTGGGTAAATTTTTGACACCTTTAAAAATTGAATAAATCAAAAACTGTTTAAAGAAATGATTATCAGTAATTTCAGTTGATTTATCTAGAGATTATCTTTGTCACCCAAATTAATGAAAGACAAGAAATTCAAAGTTAGGGCTGAAATTCCATATTTAATTCTTAGCCTAGCTGCTGCTGTTGTATTACAGTAGCATCCTGAGGCCTTAATAAGGACTGGGGCATAATTACAGTAGGTGAGGTGCAAATGATGGAGACAACCTGTGCCCCAGTGAATTTACAATCTAAGACCCTGATTCTGCAAAAAAGTTTGCATAGCTTTTAGCTTGCAGTAGCTTCAAGGATGCTGTTGATATGTTTAAAGTGTTTTCTGGATTGGGGCCTTATTGCCTCTTTCACTCTCCTTTCTCTGTTCCACCTGGAGAAGGAAAAAATTGAGGATTATATGTCAGCAGTGACTATAATCTTGAAAATTATATTAAAAGTTTAAAAGTTAACCAGATCAAAGTCCGTTGCTGTCAACAGAATCATGGCACCTGCTTCCACAAAAATCCTTTTTTCCTAACTGTTTCTTATTGAGTCTTTGTTTTGTTTTGTTTTTTAAGGCTAAATATTTTTAATGTTTTTTTCCTCTCCCTATTTTTTAACCCAGATTCTAGAGCTCCTGTTTTTATAACAGGAAAGAACTTTGATTTTTTTTTTTTTTACTGGGGAAAACTGATACCCTTATTAGTAGAGTTGTCCAGAAAATCCCTTACTATGGAAAAATGCATGTTTTTGAAATATTTTTGTCCAGGACTTTACAAAGTCAAAACATGACACTTTCAAGAAAAAAAACAATTTTGGTCAGCAAACCAGAAAATTTGAGCACAGGCAAAAAGTGAAATTGACAAGGGCCTTCCAGCCTGGCTGCTGAAGAGGCAAAGAGCTGGACTATTCAGGGTATGTCTACACAGCAAAGAAAAACCTGCAGTTGGCCCGTGCCAGCCAACTCAGGCTCCCGGGACTCGGGCTGTGGGGCTATTTCATTGCTGTGTAGACTTCCGGGCTTTGGAGCTCTGGGACCCTCCCACCTCGCAGGGTCCTAGAGCTTGGACTACAGCCTGAATCAGCTGGCACAGACCAGCTGTGGGTGTCTAGTTGCTGTGTAGACATACCCTCAGTTACTCACAAGCTCTGGCAGCCACTCAACATCCTCTCCCCCATCCCTCCTCTTTCTCTAGAGGAAGAGAGTGGAGGTGCTCAATCTCTCTTGCCCAGGGTGGTGGGAAGGCTGAGTGCTCTGATTCTCTGGCTCTAACCCTCCTGAGGAGGAAGGGAGGTGGAGAGTCAGGGTGCTCAGCCTTGGCAGCCTTCCAGCAGGGCAGCCAGGAACTGTCCCTTTGGCAAAACTGAAATTTCCTTACAGGACATTTTGGTTTTTGTGAAAAGGGCATTTTTCATCAGAAAATCGTTCAATGGAAAATTCCCTTTTAACTCTACTTAATAGCGTTTTTTGCTGAATCCTAGATCTCCAAGAGCAATATGCAGTGTATGGACTTCCTGCTTATACTTGTCTTTACAATAGTTTTGTTTAGTGCTTTGACTAATACATTTTCTTATGTTTCAGAGATGAGAGTCCTGCCAAAACAGATTTTTTCCAGCACTTAGTTGAAGACCGGACAGAGGCAGCATTCTCTTATTACGAATTCTTACTTCATATTCAACAGCAGATTTGTAAGTGAAAGTGGAAGAAAGAAGAAGAAAATTCCCAACTTTGGATACAAATGTTAGCTGTGAGAGGAGCACATGGCAACAGGCATTTGCTCTTCACAGTAAACAGTGTAAAGCACCGTATCAGAAGCTTTGCAGCTAAAGGAAAAATATACACGTCCGGAGGAATTTTACGGATTTGCTTCAGCCTGAAAATGATAGGAGTAATGATGCTCTTTCACTAGTACATTTTTAACTGGTTTATACACGTTTCCGGTAGTGCAGCAGTATGGTGCTCTGTTTATTGCAAGCTGTTGAATTTATGTAGCTATGTGGGATGATATTTCTTAATGATATGTAAAATTAGATAAAACCTTTTTTCTTACATTTATTATGATAACCTTTCTGGAGTCAGACTCTTGCAGAGGTGCCAAGGGCAGTACTATATGGTGTTTGTTTATATTACTTTTTAAAAGGAATGATTCATATTCACTAAAAGACTTCAACATTTTCCGTGTGAGGACTATAGAGTTTCAATACAGTACATGAATTGTAGAAATAAAATATATAATGTACATAAGTGTTACATTTGTAAAGAAAATGTAAAAATGTAACTACACAATGAATTGCCCAGTGTGCAACAATGTTGCATATTCAATAATAAATCATTTTGCCCAGTTAAAATGAGGTTGACTGATAGATAATACATATTAAGAAATCTGAATCACATAGGAAATACCCAACTTTGTAATCCTGTTAATTCTTTTACATGGATTTATTTATGATCAGCTTACTAATTAAAAATATTTTGCTTGATCATGTGTTTTTATATTTATGCAACTGATAATCATTTAGAAACTGAACTCTAATGCTGAATCTAAAATTCACTTTTGAAGAGAATGTTTACCACTTTATTTCACAGATTTCTAGAAGGGGAGGAGAGAATATTTCATAGTTTGAAATGAGCAAATGTATCAATAAGGGTTAGTTTGGGGTCCTTTCACATATTTGGCTTGTGAAAAAGTATAACATCCTAATATTTTGTAATCTGCAGCAATCCTGGCCCAGGTTTCTGCAACTCAGTTTTGTGGTACTCAAAATAAGCATGATTAATCATTGAATGGGATCCTGTGACAGGGTTTCTGCATGATGAAAAATAAGGGACATAAAAATGTTTTATTAAAAGAGAGGAAGGGAAAGTAATATTTTATTTGAAAAGTTGGTAAATGTCAAAAAAGCTTATTTCAAAATGTTATCACCTTGCTATTGACTTCTTTATAACCTCATTTCTGCTAATAAATGTAATTAAATGGCTGGGTTTGTAAACACAGATTAAGCTCCGAAGTTAAAATCTGGTATTGGTGGTCAGGTGAAGGGGGAGGAACTGTGTTTGGCCATCCGCTGCAATTGCTGATTTAGACTTGGTCAGTCATATGACCCAGTCTGAACTTTTATCACTTGTTTGCTTTAATTAAATTTGTGTGTGTTCAGGTAATTGAACGAAGGAGTGCTAAATAATTAAATGGTGGAAATGTTAGCACACTTTCTTTTAAAACAGTCCAGAAAAACATTTTTTAAAAGCATTCAAGAAGTTGAATATTAACGACCCAACCCCCCGGAAAGATGGACTCAAATTGAATCTGTACCTACTGTACAGTATTCAATAGAAACATGTAATAGCTAGATATTGCAACTGTTTATGATTAATTAAATCCTGAAAGTGTGTAATCCTGAGAATTTGCACCACATCAGTTTTGGAGATACCTTATTTAAATTTGTGTATCTTTTCCCTAATTAAAGATACTCAAGTACACCAAGGATAGCACATAAATAAATCTGTTATTCATCTTTATGGTCAGTTACTAAGGGGCTTGTACACACTACCACTTATGTTGGTATAACTTTTGTCACTCAAGAGAGTGAACAAGCCCCCCCACCCATGACTGACGTACGGTACAGCAAGCTAAGCGCTGGTAAGGACAGCACCGTGTAACTCTCCCACCGACATAGCTACACCTCTCGAGGAGGTGGTTTTATTATCCCAAAGGGAGAGCTCTCTCCCATCAGTATAGAGCGGCTTCACCAGCTGCATAGGTGCAGCTGCGTTGCTGTAGCACTTCTAGTGTAAATGTCTGCAGAAATACAGGGTAGTGTCCCTAAATCAAGACAACACAATGCAAGTAACTACATATATTTTGTTCTATTTACACTACACATTTTGAATTAAGGGTAAGAGCTCCTGAAGAATAAGACAGGTGAAAAGATGTCAGAAGGGGATATTAGCATAATCTTAATAGTTCTTCAGAATATACAGACTTGTAAACTTGACATTGAATATCCAGGAACATTCAAAACAATGATTATGGTGACCCAGTCTGTAAAACTGCTACTTAAAGCTTTATTCTTCTATGTATTTTGTATATAAAAGTTGTTATGAAAAATACATGAGAACTATTTGATTTATTTAGTAAAATCAATTTATAGTATAGAAAAGCTGGTAGTTTTTGGCTCTTTTTATATGGTGATAGGTTAATATCAGATGTCTCTTTTTCAACCACCATAAAGGAATTGGGTGCAAGCCATAAGATATGTGCTCCCACCAAGAAATGTGTGCAACCACCCTGAAGAAGCATGAAGACCCTCTCATCAGTAGCATTCTAAGGTGGGGGATGTGCTTTTATGATGAATAACTTAAAAAATTAACAAAGGTCTTTGGCCACATTAAATCTGCATATGAAGCAAGAATCTTTGTGTATAAAAAACAAACAAACAAAAAAACGGTGTGCCATAGAAACAAAAATAGAAGACATCCAGCCTCCTAGCCAAGGCACTAGTGTTAAGATGACTTCCTAATCTGTTGTTTGAATTCAGCCAAGGTGCATAGTAATGGAAGCTGTCAGGTGGCTGTTCTGGTAGTTTGGTCCAATGGTCCATCTAGCCCAGTATCCTGTCTTCTGACCATGTTTTATGCCACTTGCTTCAGAGGGAGTGAACAGAAGCGGGAAATTTGATCCATCCCCTGTCGTCCAGTCCCAACTTCTAGTAGTCAGAGGTTTAGGGACACCCAGAGCATGGGGTTGCATCTCTGACCATCTTGGCTAATAGACTTTGATGGGCTTATCTTCCATAAACTTACCTATTTTTTTTTAAATCCAGTTATACTTTTTGATTCACAACACCTTCTGGCAAAGAGTTCCGCCGGTTGACTGTGCATTGTGTGAAGAAGTACTTCCTTCTGTTTTAAACTTGCTGCCTATTAATTTAATTGGGTGACCCCTGCTTCATGTGCTATGTGAAGGAAAAATAACACTTACTTTCTCCACACCATTCATGATTTATAGACCTTTATCATATCCCCCATCAGTCATCTCTTTTCCGAGCTGAACAGTCCGTCTTTTTAATCTCTCCTCGGATGGAAGCTGTTCCATATCCCTAATCATTTTGGTTGCTCTTCTCTGTGCTTTTTCCAATTCTAATATATCTTTTTTGAGATGGACAAGGTGGGTGAGGTAATATCTTCTATTGAACCAACTTCTGTTGGGGAGAGAGAAAAGCTTTCGAGCTACACAGAGCTCTTCAAGTCTGGGAAAGGTACTCCCAGCATCACAGCAAAATGGAAGGTGGAACAGATTGTGTAGCATAAGTAGCACATATTATTAAGGGGCTATTCAAGATAGCGTAGCCTGTTAACATTTGTGTAATCAAAGGACAAAAAGAGGGGGGTTAGGAGTTTACAGATGGTTGTAATAAGCTATAAATCCAGTGTCTCTGTTCGATCCACAATTTTTAGTGGCTAGCAGAGTAATGATTTTAAGTTCCCAGGCTCGTCTTTAGAAAGTGTTGTGCAGTTTTCCTTTGAGAATGAGGATGGATAAGTCTGCTATAGATAGGGTGTCCAGAGCTACACACAGAATTCAAGATGTGAGCATACAATAGATTTATATAGTGGCATGATATTTTCTGTTTTACTATTTAACCCTTTCGTAATGGTTCCTAACATTGTTAGCTTTTTTGTTAGTAGCTGCTGCTGCACATTGAGTGGATGTTTTCAGAGAACTATCCACAGAGACTCCAAGATCTTTCATTTATTCCTATCCTTTCTTTCCTATCTTTTAACCAGTTGCTCTTCAATGAAAGGGCCTTCTGTCTTATCACAACTCCTAACTTTGCTTAAGAGCCTTTGGTGAGGGACCTTGTTGAAGGCTTTCTAAGGTCCAAGTACACTACATCCACTCAATCACCTTCATCCACATGCTTGTTGACTCCCTCAAAGAATTCTGATTGATTGAGGCATGATTTCCCTTCAAGAAAGCTGTGTTGACTCTTCCCCAACATATAATGTTCTCCATGTGCCTGTTGATTCTGTTCTTTACTATAGTTTCAACCAATTTGCCCTGTACTAAAATTAGTTTTATCAATCTGTAATTGCCAGGATTGCCTCTGGAGCCTTTTTTAAAAATCGGTGTTACATTAAACTATCCTCCAGTCATGTGATACAAAGAATGATTTAAGAGATAAATTAAACCACAGTTAGTAGTTCATCTTTGAGTTCCTTCAGAACTCATCGGTGCGTACCATCTGATCCTGGTGATTTACTATTTTTTAACAATTTGTTCCAAAACCTTGTCTATTGACATCTCAATCTGAGGTTCCTCAGATTTGTCACCTAAAAAGAATGGCTCAGGTATGGAAATCTCCTTGGCACCCTCTGCAGTGTGGACCAATGCGAAAAATTCAGTTTGCTCCTCTGCAACAGCCTTGTCTGTCTTGAGTGATCCTTTAGAACGGGTCGGCAACCTTTCAGAAGTGGTGTGCCGAGTCTTCATTTAATCACTCTAATTTAAGGTTTCGCGTGCCAGTAATACATTTTAACGTTTTTAGAAGGTCTCTTTCTATAAGTCTATAATATATAACTAAACTATTGTTGTATGTAAAGTAAATAAGGTTTTTAAAATGTTCAAAAAGCTTCATTTAAAAATTTAAATTAAAATGCAGAGCCCCCCGGACCGGTGGCCAGGATCCGGGCAGCGTGAGTGCCACTGAAAATCAGCTTGCATGCTGCAGGTTGCCTACCCCTGCTTTAGAACCTTGATCATCCAGTGACCCCACTGACTGTTTGGAAGGCTTCTTGCTTCCAATATACTTCTAAAAAATATATATAAAATCCTGTTAGTTTGTGTGTCTTGCCTAATTCTACGTTTACACTTGGCTTGCCAGATCTTATGCTTCTTTCTATTTTCCTCAGTAGGATTTGACTTCCAATTTTTGAAATGTGCCTTTTTGTCTCTAACCACCTGTTTTACTCTGTTTAGTGGCCTTTTTTTTTTTTTTGGTCCTCTTACTGTTTTTTTTTGGGGGGGGGGGAGAAGGGGGCGGAGATAATACCTATAATTTGAGCCTTTTATTATGGTGCTTTTAAAAAGTTTCCATGCAGCTTGCAGGCATTTCACTCTTGTGACTATTCCTTTCAGTTTCTGTTTAGCTTCATTTTTGTGTAGTTCCCCTTTTTGAAGTTAAATGCTGCGATGGTAGGCTTCTTTGGTATTTTCCCCGCTACCAGGATGTTAAATTTTAATTATATTATGGGTGCTATTACCGAGTGGTTCAGCTATAATGACCTCTTGGACCAGATACTGGGCACCATTTAGGACTAAATCAAGAATTGCCTCTCCTCTTGTGGATTCCAGGACTAACTGCTCCTGGAAGCATACATTAATGGTGTCTAGAAGTTTTATCTCTGCATCTCATCCTGAAGTGACTGTTTCCAGTCAATATGGGGATAGTTGAACGTCCCTATTATTATTTAGCTTTATATTTTGTAACCTCTCTAGTCTCCCTGAGCATTTCACAGTCATTGTCATTATCCTGGTCACATGATCGATAGTATATTTGTACTGTTACACTCATTCAATCATGGAATTTCTAGCCTTGGGGATTCTGTGGTACAGTTTGATTAATTTAGGATTGTTACTGTATTTGGTTATGTGCTTTTTCACATATAATGCCACTTCCCCACCAGTGCAACCTACTCTGTCATTCCTATATATTATGTACCTTGGTATTACCGTGTTCCATTGTTCCAAGTTTGATGCATATTATCTGAATATCCTAATTTAATACCAGGCAGTCAAGTTCACCCATATTAGTATTTAGACATCTTGTGTTTGTATACAAGAACTTATAAAATTTGTCAATATTTCATTGTCTGCCTTCGTGATGTAATTTGAATGGGACTCTCCTTCATTTGACTGTTTTTGTTCTATCCTGTACTTTATCAACTTCTGTCCTCTTCCCTTTACTAGGATATAGAGTTTCCCCTTTAATAAATCTTCCCCTAAGGGATGTCTCTCCAAACTATGTGCTCCTCTGCACCTGTTGACTTTCCCCTAATCCTTAGTTTAAAAACTCCTCTACAGCCTTTTTAATTTTACATGCCAGCAATCGTGTTCTGTTTTGGTCTAGGTGGAGCCCATTCTTCCTGTATAAGCTCCTCCTTTCCCAAAAGGTTCCCAGTTCCTAATAAACCTAAATCCCTCTTCCTAACACCATCATCTCATTGATGCATTGAGACCATGCAATTCTGCCTGTGTAACTGGCCCTGCACTTGGAACTGGAAGCATTTCAGAGCATGCTACCAGTGGAGGTCCTGGACTTCAATCTCTTGCCTAGCAGCCTACCTATCCCTGTGTCATTGCTACCTACATGTACCACAACCACGGCTCCTCCTCAGTGCTGCACATAAGTCTATCTAGATGTCTCAAGAGGTCCGCAACTTTGCACCCGGCAGGCAATTCATCATGCAGTTCTGCTGGTCCTCACAAACCCAAATATCTATTTCTAATAATCGAATCCCCCATTACTATTATTTTTCTCTTCCTATTAACTGGGTACCTAATACCCAGGGGGGTATCCTCAGTGCAAGAGGATACCATGACATCATCTGGAAGGAGAATCCCAACTAGGGGATTATTCTCCTTCACTCCAGCTTGATGTTCTCCTTCCCCCAAGATTTTCATCCTCCTCAACAGCACAGAGGCTGTCAGACTGGGAGTGGGACTACTTTACTGTGCCCCAGAAAGTCTCATCTGTGTACTTCCCTGTCTTCCTTAGGTCCAGTTCACCAACTCTAATCTCAAGAGCCCTTACTCTTTGCAAGCCATGACTTGCTTGCACCGAATGCACACATCACTTGCCCACGAGTGCAATAAACTGGGTAGCCCCTAGTCTGCTGCTGGACTTCTGCCTGTATTATTTTTATTATGGCAGGGGTATCACAATAGAGATACCATTACTAATAGCCCTAGCAGAGAAACCCGAGAGTTAAATGGGCCTGGGTACTGAACCCCACACACAATTTTGTATATCATCCCTCCAGATCAGTTGTCATTTACGTTAGCAGGACAGTTTTTGATGCTGGGTGTTGTGAGTTCCTAGTGTGCATTA